CTGATAATAATAATAATAAGAAGAAGAAGAATTTCTCATGTTTGTTTGATTTCTGATAATAATAATAATAATAATAATAATAATAATAATAATAATAAGAAGAAGAAGAAGAAGAAGAAGAAGAATTTCTCATGTTTGTTTAATTTCTGATAATAATAATAATAATAAGAAGAAGAATTTCTCATGTTTGTTTAATTTCCTGGTGTTTTTGAGTCTGATTCAGGTTTAATTCCATGTTTTCGTTGCAAGCTTCATCTTCAAAGATATTTTCGTATTTTAGCTGATTTTGTAAAGATTTAGCCTCTTCTAAAAGAAAATAAAATGAAATTAGATCAAAGTTGAGGTTTTGATAAAATAAAAAAGCAGAATTTCAGCTTTTTTAAAATCATCTTAAATTGAAAGAGAAAGCATGAAAATGGACTAATCTTCTGCTCCTCCGCTGATGAGGAGGTGTCACCTGAGGAGTACGGGGTGGGCTGGTGCTCGCGCAGGGCCCCCAGCGTGCAGCTGGCCGTGCTGAGCGGGCTGCAGCCCGGGTTGGAGAACGGTCCGGTCCGGATCGGGTTGTACTGGAACGAGCTGGCCTGGCTGCACGAGCTGAAGTCCGCGTAGGCCGACGCTTCCATGGCCGCCATGCAGGAGTCGTAGGAGTTCAGGTAGGAGTAATCCATCTTATACATGGAGGAGAGGCCGGTGGACGCGCGCGAGCTGCTCCGGGTTCTGCCGGTTCCGACCCGCAGTTGGTTTCAGTCTCCAACCTTCGTCTTCTCTCTTTAGCGATTCAAACCAGCCACATGTGTTGAAATGCAGATGTTTAGATTAGTTTTTAACTTCACTTCTTCTCCCGCTGCAGCTCAGCTCGCTCGTCGCTCGCGCTCCGTCTGACGGCGCGCTGCGGCTCGCGCGCTGTTTATAATAAACTCTGCAGGGCGCGAGACAATAGCGAAAGCGGTGGTCTTGTTTCCATGACAATGGCAACCCGCGAGTGAGCGTGGAAGAACGGACGCTCCCCCCCTCTCTCCTGCTCCTCCTCTCTCCTGCTCCTCCTCTCTCCTGCTCACTGCACCGCCCACGCCGTTCTCAGCACCGGGAGCACCGGTGCTTAAATCAAAAACTTAAAAAAAAAGAACAGTTTCATCATTTAAATCAGCTAGAAACCGCATGTTTCCTTTATCGGACGGAGCCAAATTTGGTTAAATCCACTTTTCTTTTTCTTTTTTTAATGTAATGGAGCAAAAATCAATCATCCCTCTTTGAGAGACTGTGTGCGGCTTGTATCCGAGTTAATTCTGAGTTTGATCAGCTCACAAGTTGTTTCAGGTGTTTTGATTACCCCCCCCCCCCCCCCCATACACACACACACACACACACACAAGGCCGCTCCTTGTGCGCGCGTGGACTGCAGCTCGTAGTTCAAGGTTGAAGTTAAAATATTAGACAACATATGAGACACCAACCCATGTTCAAATACACATCAAGGCACGTTTCTAAAAAAAAAGATATATATATAAAATATTAAAAACACGGGGGGGGGGGGGGGGGGGTCTCCTCACATCTGAACAGACTCATTAATTTGTTCAAACCCAGCCCCTCCCTGAAGATGCTCCTCGGCGGGTCAGAACCGTTTCTCTGCCCCAGAACCGCACGAGTCTTTATGTGAGGGGAACCGTCCAGATGTGACGGTGATTGGTGAGATTAAATGCTTTGATTTGATTCCGATCGCTTTTACCCAGATGTCACCAGAGCGCGCGTCACTTTGATGTATAGGACCTGAGAGAGGAGAGGAGGGGAGGCACGCGCAAGCTAACCATAAACGCATTGACGCATCAGAAATTGGTTTAAGTTTATTGTACGGTGTCATACAATGTGATAAGTCATATCCCACACGGCCCCCCATCGTGCGCGCACACGCATGCAGACACGCAGAGGATTTGAACCCAGGAGCGCGCGCCACGCAGCGCGGGTTTTTCCCCAATCCTGCAGTTTTTTATTTTATTTTAATGTATCTCTTCATGAAACTAACAGGCTTTTTATTAGTAGATGAACTTCACCAAATCACATAATCCACAAACCAAAATTGCGCTGTGCGTGCGAAGGGAGAAAATTAATTGAGTTTGGCGCGCGCGTTCGCGCGTAAAGTGGCCCGAAGTGCGCGCTCTTATCTCGGTTTGACTAGAGGCTAGCTGCATGACGCTGCTTCTTAATGACATTAACCCGATCCACGTGCACGCACACGCGTGCACTGGCCCCACTAAAGTCACACAGATCTGGAGCTGCGGTTGTGGGTGGATGAGGGCGCGTCCTGCACTTCCGCTCCACCGTCACGCAGATGTGTGTTCTTGTTATATTAATAAGCATGTTCATGTCATCATGTGTCCAGCAGCTTCTTCACCTTCACGCACCTTCACGCACTTTCACGCACCTTTTGTTCAACAAGAAGCGCAGACTCTGATCAGCTGCTCTCACGAGGACGTTAATAAAAGCCTGAACAGATTTACAGATAAGCGAGACTGCGCGTGATGTTTTTCCTTCATCCAACCTTTATTTATGCAGGTTAGTGTCACTGAGTCACGAGCACTCGTTTTCAAGAGAGACACAAAGATTCAGCTCCACTCACCAACCCGCGCGCGCGCACGGTGCGCCTTTTTACGCATTTAAAGCTCGTTTATTTGTCAGTTATGGAGTTCACTTTCACGCAGAAGTCAGAGTTAAAGATTTCATCTGAACCTCTGGAAACATCTGTCTCCATCAAGTGACTCCGCGGAAGCAGCTGCAGCTTCTGTTCCGTGCGCGTCTGCGAGGTTCAGAGGTGAGTTTAAACCAAGCTGTTCCAAAGTTAAACACACACACACGCACGCACGCACACACACACACACACACACACACACACACCTCCTGCACTTTAAAAAAAGGAGCATCCAGGAGCGACTAGCTCTCCCCACATAGAAACTTTAATCCCTTCAAAGCAGGACCCGGGTCTCTCTCAGGGTTTATAATCCGCTCCTCTGCTCCGCGCAGCGCGAGGGTTTAACTTTGGACTTTTACATTCATGGGGGACGGAAACAGTAACGAGGGAAGCTTTGGCATTCATGGCGTCTGAGTCAACAGGGGGGGCACAATGGCCCCCTGGAGACCCCTGAGGGACCCTGAGAGGGAGAGAGGAACCCCGATTATAGGGATTATAACCCCGCAGGTTGTTGTTTTAAATCAAGGCTCAGATTGAATTATTGATTTTATGAATTTACAAATCAGCACATCAGCAGCTTTAATAGTAAAAATATTTAAATATATATGTTTTATCTTCTTTCACAAACTATACCTACTTAAAAAAAAACACTTAAAGAAGTCATTGAAATAATTCAGGATTGTGGTGAAAATTAAAACCTAACTCACAATAATTTCGTTTTGTTGCTGAATTTTGTTGTAGTTTATATTTTATTCGTTAAAAATTCAAATGGACTTTTCATTTTGAGGGAAATATTTTCAATGTCTGATCAATAATTGAATTTATAGAAGTTTTTTTTGTCTTTTTTTTTTAATAAGTCCTCCGTCTTCCCCCTCCTCGTTGATTGGCGTCAGAAATGGCGCAAAAGTCGTCTGTGTTTAAGATGGATGGGTGGCCGGTGCTGGTGGAGACACGCAGAGGTGTGCGGGGACACGGACACGCGGATAAAGGGATAAATGAGGGGCGAGACAAAGCCACGCGGGAGGCCCGTCCCGGCTTCTGTGGCCTGAAGTGAAGCTGTCAGTCAGAGCAGAGGAAGGAGCTCCATCCATCACCACAGCTCAGAGCAACATGTCCCAGGAGCCCGAAACTGCTTTTTCTTCTTGACACGAGCACATATTGAGTCACACCTCTGGATATTAACCTCCTTTTTGTTTAACTTTGTAAATGAGCAAGTAAAAGATGTTACAGGGTGGAAACATCAAGTCCAACAGACTGAAGTAAAACATAAAAAAATACAGTAACATTTCATCAAAGTATTTTTTGAGTGAGCGTGCAGTGTTTTATTTCTGACAGTCAGTCCATCATTAATCAGGATTTACCAGATTGTTTGACAACAAAACTCATAATGGAAGAAAAAAAACCACTGGTCATTTTTACAGTCCTCTCATTTCATCTGTTTCAGTCTGCACGTTTTAATAAATAAAACCCACAATAACAACTCATGATTCACGAGTTAAACCAAGTTCAGTTGTTTTGAATCCTGATTTTTAAAAAAAAAAAAAACTGCAGATAAAAGGATGTTTTCCGCACAAAGTGGGAAGGTTTCCTCGTGCGTAAATTACGCACATGGATGGATTAACAGTTAATCATCGTTGTGTTTTCTTTCTTTCTTTTTCGTGGTAAAGTTTCGTTTTTAAATCTGTAACTTGATTTAGCCTCTGCTGATGTGTCACTGACATGTGTCGTGTCATCATCCGCTGCGTCAGAGCCGCTCTCCTCGAGCTGAAGGCTCAAAGCGGCCTGCTTCCTCCAGCTGCAGAGGCTGCGTGGCGGCGCGCGCGCATTATATTTGCTCAGTGATGGATGAGAGCCGAGCGGGAGGAGGAGGGGCTGAAGGGCCCCTTGGTGCGGCCCGCATGGCCCCGCACTTCTGTCCTCAATTAGTGGAATAAACGGTGCGTTCCGGCGCAAACAGGGGGTCAGAGAGGAGAGCAACGAGAGAGCAACGAGAGAGCAACAAGAGAGCAACAAGAGAGCAATGAGAGAGCAACGAGAGAGCAATGAGAGAGCAACGAGAGAGCAATGAGAGAGCAACGAGAGAGCAACGAGAGAGCAACGAGAGAGCAATGAGAGAGCAACGAGAGCGCAACGAGAGCCTCTCATTCAGAGAGAGCAGCAAAAATAGGAGGAATGAGCTAATTTAAGACACGTGGCTGCACTGAGAATGACTCTCAGCTACTACCATGCACGTGACATTTAACCCAGCAGGTGTCATGTTTCTGCACAGGTCGTCTCCAAAAGCTCATTTGTTGCAGATGTTGATCATTCCTTGAAAGTTAAAAATAAATCGTTCAGCCGCTCGTCACATGATATTTTACTAACAGAAAAAGCAGACTTGACTCCAAAGTTTTCAACAAATATTAACGTTCAGAGTGTGTGTTGGGGATCAGGCTCAGATACTACCACACTATTTCAACTAAGTATAAATTAACCGACCACTTTGCTTTTGTGGGTCACTTGGCTGTGGCGGCCATCTTGAATCGTTTTGATTCCAGAAGTTTATCATTTGTCAAAATGAAACTTCTGCAAGTTTCATTCAAATCTGTTGATGAAATATTTAGCTAACAGATAAAATATTT